AGCAGCACCTACTAGGCAGATTTGGATGGACAAGATAGAGGAGCTCAAGGCTGCTCAATATGTGAAAGCCTCCCTAAGTACCAAGCACACAGAACAGTGGTCCCTTGGGATGCCTATATGTCCTGTCCTACAGAGGCAATAGGACGGGGCAACACTGAGCATGCTTGATGGGTTTTGCACTCCTCTCTATTCTTTTCTTCACACTTTTCCTCCGCTCTTTGTCAGTCAACCAGAGAAAATGTATGACTATTATGTCTGTTCAACTGTACCACAATGCCATCAACTTTGGAATAGAATTAGCAACCATACAAATCTAAGCATAGGGGCTTGCATATATGATGCTCCATGATGCACTTAATAAGGCGCTGTCTCTCCGTACTTGCCTTTTTCCAATTGCTGCTTCTTCTCTTCCTCTTTCCTGCTCTGCCTTTCTTTTTCTCTTTTTTTACTTCAATCTCTAATCAAAAACATAAGACAAACTAGGGCTTGACACTTCGTGACATCGGGCAGAGTCATTGCCATCATGAAACGTCAACCACCAGCCATCACAAGTGACGGCTGCAGGGCATCGTCTCTGTCTATGAAGCATCCTGCGGTCTCACAGGATTCTCCATAGACCTCAATGTTGTAGTTGCGTATATGTGAGATTCAGCAGTGACGTTGGCTCTGGGGCTGAAGAGGACCGAAGGAAAAAGATAGCAGCACCAGCGAGGGACAGTTTCAGGTAAGTAGTAGAACTCACCTTTCTCTGCCCCCTACGGCTAGGGAACCCCAAACGCCGATGTCCTGACAGGGACAAATTTGCTAATTTTTAAATGTCCCCAGACAGTGACAGCGCCGCATTAAAAATCTCGACTGTACTGTTGATTGTACTTTCTAACTATATTTTTCTTTTCTGTTATTGAAATAACAATACTGAAGAACACGTTGAAAAAATAAAGATTAAAAAAAATTAAATATGGCGGTTATGTATTATCTGGAATATACCGAAATAATCACTTTTTATTTCTCTGATTATTTTCCATTTTTATGATTTTACCATAGATTACGTTCACAAAATAAGTGAATGAATAATGTTACTAGGCAAAAAAAAGGACACATTTGAAGTTCGAAGTACTTTTTTTTGGCTATTACTCAAACAAAAATTAAGACATACACATAAAATTAAGCCCTGCGCTCATACTCCCACTACTATTGTGCGGCAGAAATGGCTACGGTATTAATCAGCGGAAAAAAAGTTACCTGTGCTCTATCCCAAATTCCTATGCACATTTTTTGTATCACTCCAATGCTCAAGGCAAATCTCTTAGGTGAGTCTGACAATAACATAAAGGAATAATTATGAAAAATCTCATAAAACCAATATAAAGTACATGTAGTAAAGTAACATGAAGTCAAGTTTAACAGTTCAGGGGAAAGAGTCTTGTGCCCTACACAGTGTTTATACTTTAATACAACACATATAAACAGATTTGAACACTAGGCCTAGAACTTGGCTTGCATTACTTACAGTACAGTTTCATTGTTAGTCTCAGTAACAGAGCCCTAACTTGGATACTTTTCATAAAAAAAAGTTTTGACCTACTATGCATGAGTGTCAAATTATTGATTGTGGGAAAAACATGAATTTTGTTTTTTAATTTCTTTTTTTTTTTTTTTTATTATCAACAACAAAAGTTTTATGAATGTTTGGATTTTAATCAACAAAGTATTGCAGCTCAAAGAGCATTATATTAATGAAATGTTTATATAAAACACAAACCTGTGCCCCTCGGGCTGGGTATGTTTTCAAGTTTATAGGCTGACTTTTAGTTTTATTTTCATTTTTATTTTTTAACGTGTTCTGGAATATAAGAAAAAACTTTATTTATTCTCAATTAATAAAAAAATATAACATTTTTATTTTGCAAATTATTTAATGTTAATGCAATAAATAGCCTGCAATCACAGCCTTCAGTGGTGAAATTGCCAAGCGAAGATGGTTTATTATCTAAACAGTAAGTTGTGGTCACTTGGGCAAAATGTAAGTCAAAATAAACCTATAAAAAAAAAAAAAATAATAATAATAATAAAGTACAGCCCTACTACTGTTAGACATTTCTCCCCAAATCACTTATATTGGGCTCAAGGTTGCATCTCTTTCTTAAAAAAGAATAAACCTATGTATAAAATAGTATAATTAGAGGAAGGAAGGTTTTGCTAGTAAATGTATAACAACAAAACTGAGTGGTTGATCATGAAGAATATTCTAACTCTTTGAGTGCTCTGCTGTGTGACAGTGATCCGGAACTGAAAGGGTTAATGGGCAGCATGCAGTAACTCTTTAACCCCCAGTGAATATGCCATGCTTGCTAAGGCTGCAGGCCACCTCCCCAGAGCTCTTCTGATAGGTCACTATGAAACCCTGACACTGTAGCTTTAAAGTACAGCACATTGCTCTTTGTATACAAAACACAGCAACTGATCACTGACTTACCAGCTACTCAAGTAATTGTTTAAGGTGGAACGGGAGAGTTACTGCATCAGCCTTGCACAAGTCCCATTATCAGTCTGTGTCAGGCTGCAGGAAGATACTCCTTAATGTCACACACCTCCATCAACCCAGAGCTCATCCTGCTTTTAGTTTTAAGGTAGACAGCTTTTCTGCCCTGCGCAGAGAGCAGGGAGACAGTTCGTGCCACCTTAAGGAGAAGTGTTGCTGTGTGGAGTGGGAGGTAGTGAAATAGCACATGGATATGTTAAAGCTGTCATGCCACTATGGAGAGCCTGGAACACTGAGGTGCTACAAGTGTGCTGTGTAAGGTGGGCAGTCACTCTGGCACCCTTACATGAGATTGATGTCAAAAAGAGCTAAATACAAGTTCATGCCACCAGACTGCTATTATTTCTGAAGGAGACAGGGAGGGCTGGAGCACTGACTGTGGCTGTGGTTCATAGTTTATATCTGCCTTTCCCTGCCATTGGTTAAATCAAGCCCAGAATCAAAAAAAAAATTGATCTGAACATACTGGAAGTGAATAGGTTAAATGTGACTTTGAGGACTTGGACAAACATATACTGATAAGGAGTAAAAGCACTACAGATGATCAGAACCTGGCAAGAAGAAGCATGATGATATCTGAATTCCTTTTTTTAAATGGAATTTTAAAAAGGAATTTACCAAAATATATGTAATAAAGAGCAGATTATAAAAATCAGGAAGAGCTAGTGAAACAGGTAATATTTTGCATAAGATGTTAATATTAACACTCTTACTGCTAAAATGGACACCTACAACTCATTTTTAATTTTATTTATTTCCTACACATACTACAGCTAGGGAGAAAATGCTCTTAGCCTGATTTTTGCTGCAAAATCTTGGCTATAGTATACACTCTGTGTTTTCAATGTGCATTAATCCAGGGTACGATCTGCTTTGTATCATGATCATTAGCATTTAGGCAACACACCATATTCAGCATTAATTTCATTATTTAGGCCTAGTATTTCCAATATCCCTAACTTATTGATACAGAATTAAGCCATTATTGTGGAATACATTACTAGAGGTATTTTTAAAAAAATGATATGTAATTGTGACAAAATTAAGGATTTCTGTGGAGAATGGACAAAGTTAGAACAGTGGAGCAGACACCATTGACAACCGTGTTCCTGCTTACCGTTCTTTTTAGGACTTTTCCCCACAATTACCCTTATTACGTAACTATTTTAGTGACTGCCCATATTACATTTATCCAACTACTGTTTTTGAATTTTATCTCAGCTGATTTAGCAAGTGCACAAAATGCACAATTTTAGATCATTTTAATACAAGAAAATTATTTACGTCACCGGCACCTGGCATCATCAGCAGTGTGTGAAAAAGTTGCTGTGTAAGAATATATAAAAAGTCTAGTGTCTCTCTATATTTTAGTGGATACCGCCCATCTAGACATATGCTTTACATAAACAATTACACCAAACATCAACTGACTGCCCTATTCTCTGATAATAAAGAGTAAATATGCTGAATAGTGATGTCCCGAACGGTTCGCCGCAGACGGCGAACATAAACATAAACTTTGACGCTGTACCCCACAGTCAGCAGACACATTCCAGCCAATCAGCAGCAGACCCTCCCTCCCAGACCCTCCCACCTCCTGGACAGCATCCATTTTACATTCATTGTGAAGCTGCATTCTTAGTGAGCTGTCCAGGAGGTGGGAGGGTCTGGGAGGGAGGGTCTGCTGCTGATTGGCTGGAATGTGTCTGCTGACTGTGAGGTACAGGGTCAAAGTTTATGTTTATGTTCGCTTTCCGTGGCGAACCGTTCGGCCATCCATTCGGGACATCACTAATGCTGAACCATAAAACTATTTTACATTTTCTCTGTGCCAATAAAATTAAGGTAACAAAGTTTTAACAATGTGTACCCACGCATTTCACTGTTAAATGATATTTACCACTAGCTTATGTATGGTATAACTTACTTTTAACTAACATATGTACAAAAATTTGTATATTGCCAATATAAACAATATAACAACCATTTATAGTTTGTATATAGTCATCATGCAGCATTAAAGATCTGCTTTTGACAATATATATATTGCACCTTATACAGTGTGTGTGTGTATTATATATATATATATTATATATGTGATATTTATTGCACATTGTTGCTCCTAATTTTGTTTGTGAAAATATGGTTTCCCTGTTTATATCTTATAAAATGTAATTTGTCTTTGTTTGAATTCCATTCAGGTTATTGTGTCAGTGTGTGTGTGTATATAGTTTTATTCTCAGTGCAGTGTATGATTTATTATTAGTATTATTATTAGTATTATTATTTATTATGAGTATTTGGTATGATGAGGCAGTGCTGGCAGTCCCCTCTCACACTGACCCCGGTACAGCTCGGGGCTGCGCGGTCCCTTTAAGTGGACCCAGGGGCCGCCCCCAAGTCTCGCGGGAGTTGGCGTCTGAGTTCTCGCGAGGTCTGGCGGCGGGACCGCGATTGGCTGACGGGGACTGAATGCAAGATGGCGCCCAGGGAGCTGTGAGGCGAAAATAATCCATCGGAGAGAGCAGAATAAGCGGAGCCTGTGTGACCGCGGAGGGAGGCCGGACTGAGAGCGCGCTGCCACGGGGAGCACCCAGCGAGCCGGCGGACCCCGGACACACACAGCGGCAGGAGCGGCGGCAGCAGCCGGAGGGTGAGCGATGCGGGCGGGCGGGCTAGCTAGCGGGCGGTGCGGCCTCCTCACACGGAGCGGGCAGTCTCCATTATACCACCGTGCGCGCTCCCGGCACTCGCCGTGAACGCGCACTCTCCCAGGGACTGTCTGTCACTGGCTCCGCCGCCCGCTCCTGCCTGTGGGGAGCCCGGCCCGGGATGGGATGGGAGGATGGGCTGGGCTGGGTGCCTTTTTATTTATTACATTATTATAAAAGAAGCGGGAAAAGCGCGGGACCGGCCGGCTCGCGACACGTCAAAGTGGGGAGCGCGCGCACCCTGCTCCTCGCGCCCGCGTTCTAGGATGGAGGGGTGCGCGCTCCCCACTCCGCGTGCCCGCGGATCGTGGCCTCGAGGGGTGTTTTCTTTAATTTATTTTATCTCCTCCCACTGACAGATTCTCCGCCGGGCGCGTCACCGTCACGGGCACGCGCCTGTTTATGATACAAAGCACAAAATTAGATCATAGTATGTAATAGGGTCTCCTCTGACACCGGGGGGATGGATTAACGTCACGGGGGCACTGCGCGTCCCCGTGCGAGAGGCGGGGTTTACTAATGAAGAGAGAAAGGAGTATGGGAGACACGGGAGCGCGCACACAGACACACACTGCACATTGTAATAACATGGGAACCAACACGCACACTGCACATTGTAATAACATGGGAACCAACACACACACTGCACATTGTAATAACATGGGAACCAACACACACTGCACATTGTAATAACATGGGAACCAACACACACTGCACATTGTAATAACATGGGAACCGACACACACACTGCACATTGTAATAACATGGGAACCGACACACACACTGCACATTGTAATAACATGGGAACCGACACACACACTGCACATTGTAATAACATGGGAACCAACACACACTGCACATTGTAATAACATGGGAACCAACACACACTGCACATTGTAATAACATGGGAACCAACACACACTGCACATTGTAATAACATGGGAACCGACGCACACGCTGCACATTGTAATAACATGGGAACCGACGCACACGCTGCACATTGTAATAACATGGGAACCGACGCACACGCTGCACATTGTAATAACATGGGAACCGACGCACACGCTGCACATTGTAATAACATGGGAACCGACGCACACGCTGCACATTGTAATAACATGGGAACCGACGCACACGCTGCACATTGTAATAACATGGGAACCGACGCACACGCTGCACATTGTAATAACATGGGAACCGACGCACACGCTGCACATTGTAATAACATGGGAACCGACGCACACGCTGCACATTGTAATAACATGGGAACCGACGCACACGCTGCACATTGTAATAACATGGGAACTATCGCTGCACTAACACACTGCACATAATAACATTTAACAAACCTAATTCTGCTGCCTTTGGAGTTAGCGCTATCTATATTTATATATTTTTTTTATATATATATATCTATCTCTCTATCCTTTTGATGTACTTGTATTTCCTCCACCTTTTGAGGTAGTATTAGTTTTTCTGATGTCTATTGTTATGTATAAAATGTGAGCAGGGATGTTCTCTCCTTTCTAACAGGCTAACTATACATTCTCACAGACTGTCATAGTGTAATGCATATGCCTTATGAGGTCTGTTATGGTAAGGTGCATAGAATTTGAAGTCAGGAACCACCCAGATAGTGCATTCAATATTAAAAAGGAAGGCTAAGCACCATAACATTACAGCTCCTTTTTTTTTTTTTTTTTTAAACAGTGGTTACAATAATCCATGCAGTAAATTTATTAGAGCATGGACAAGCTCCTTGGTAGTATCTTGCCTAAGAAAGGGGCGGATGCGGACTATGTTTTTAAGATGGAATATACAAGATTTGGCAACATACTGGATGTGATGCTCAAAGGTGAGGCCAGAATAGAGTATGACGCAAAGACAGCGTGCTTGCAAGGACGGACTTATGTGGAAACCACTAATTTTAAGGGAGAGAGAAAGAGGAGGGTCAGTATTAGGAGGAGGAAAGACAAGGAGCTCAGTTTTAGAGAGATTTAGTTTCAGAAAGCGGGAGGACATCCAGCCAGCGATGGAAGAAAGGCAAGCAGTGACACGTTGCAGAACAGCAGGCGAGAGGTCCGGGGTGGAGTGATATATCTGGGTGTCATTAACGTAAAAGTGATAGTGGAATCCAAAAGCGGTAATAAGTTTGCCAAGAGAGGCAGTATAAAGAGAAAATAGAAGGGGACCAAGGACAGAGCCTTGGGGGACTCCAACCGAGACAGGACGAGGGGAGGAGGTAGCATTAGAAAAGGAGATGCTGAATGAGTGTTCGGAGAGATAAGAGGAAAACCACGAGACAACAGAGACCGAGTGATTGAAGAAGGAGAGCATGATCAACGGTGTCAAAGGCAGCAGAGAGGTCAGGAAGAATTAGTATGGTGTAGTGGCTTTTGGATTTAGCTACAATTTAGGTCGTTAGTAACTTTGATAAGGGCAGTCTCAGTAGAGTGGAGAGGGCAGAAGCCAGATTGAAGAGGGTCAAGGAGAGAGTTGGAATTGAGGCAGTGAGGCATATGGGTAAAGACAAGTCTTTAAGCCGTATTGCCCAGCTACAATCTTTAATGAATGCTGCCGCCAGACTGATTTTTTTTTTTTTTCTCTCTAGTCGGTCCTCTCACACCTCACCCCTCTGTCAGTCCTTACATTGGCTTCCTGTATCATATAGGAGTCAATTCAAAGTGCTAACCCATACCTATAAAGCACTGAACAATTCTAGCACCTCTTATATTTCTTAACAGATCCATAGGTATGCCCCTACTCTTTCTCCACTATGCCCATGACCTTCTCCTGTCCGCTACTAGCACCCGTATGGCCAACTCATGCTTGCAGGACTTCTCACGGGCGGCTCACTTCCTATGGAATAGCCCAGGCATAGGCAACCTTCGGCACTCCCAGATGTTTTGGACTACACCTCCCATGATGCTTTTCTCTCTCCTTCTTCTCTCCTTCTTCTCTCCTTCTTCTCTCCTTCTTCTCTCCTTCTTCTCTCCTTCTTCTCTCCTTCTTCTCTCCTTCTTCTCTCCTTCTTCTCTCCTTCTTCTCTCCTTCTTCTCTCCTTCTTCTCTCCTTCTTCTCTCCTTCTTCTCTCCTTCTTCTCTCCTTCTTCTCTCCTTCTTCTCTCCTTCTTCTCTCTTCTCTCCCCCCCCGTTGGTATCTTTGCTGCGCATTCAGAGGAGGAGAGTCCCCCGCCCGGTGCTGGAGAAAGAGGTAAGTTTAACCCCTTCCACCCCCTAGAGCCCGGCGGGAGGGGGACCCTGAGGGTGGGGGCATCCTCAGGGCACTATACTGCCAGGAAAACGAGTGTTTTCCTGGCACTATAGTGGCCCTTTAATATACTTAATATATTTATGGAAGAGTACGGTAAGAGTATACTTAATGCATCATATAGTTTAGGTTTGTCTTGGTCAAACCAAGGTGTTTTTATTTTTTTTTCATTTCATTGCAAGAATAATACATTTTTATATATATATATATATACTCTATCAAATTTTTATTTTATTTTTTTATGATTTGTGTGTGAGTGTACACACACAGGCAACAAAAACATGATGGGCGTATTCATTTCAGTATATCTAAACCATGTGCTTGTTTCTGTGGGATAATGGTTACATTTTATATTGCTTGTTTTAGTTAGGGCCTATTATGGTTTGATTAAAGAAATTGTCTAGATCCTAGTCAATAACCATTACACTTTAAAAAAAAAATTTATTTAAATTTTTTATATTTGACCAGGATTTGCACTATGAATAACTCAATAGAGAACACCATTTCATTTGAAGAATATGTCCGAATGAAGGCCCGGACTGTTCCGCAGCATAGGATGAAGGAATTCTTGGACTCTTTAGCTGCAAAGGGTCCGGATGCTTTGCAGGAATTTCATCAGCCGCCGACCACAACCATGGTTTATCAGCAAGGGGGTAACTGCATCTACACAGACAGCACAGAAGTTGCAGGGTCTTTGCTGGAACTGGCATGTCCAGTTACCACAAGTGTACAGCAACAGGACCAGCAGATTCAAGTTCAACAACAGGTAAGTGACTGTTCTTTTCTAAATTGCTATCTGAATAGGATTGCATTATTTTTCTATCTTAATTGTCTTGTTCATTAGGGTCTGTTTTGTTTTTAATCACCAGGATCAGAGCTTGAGAAACACCAGTATTCAGGGAGTTATGACTCCTAACATATGAGCAATGAATGCAGAAACCCTGAGTGTTTGTTTTTCCATGTCCCAAACACATCAGATTGACTCTTTGATATGTCTGCTTCTCTTCTTAATTCCACAAGTATTTATAACTTGCACACTATCAAAGCTTTTTCACCTTTTTCTTAAAATGTACTTTTTTTTCCAGAAAAAAAGATAGGCCTTATGGATTTCTGTAGTATTATGCAGGCTAGCAAAAAATAAATAAATCCGTGAAGCACCAGTATGATGTAGTAATGCAGTGTAATTTATACAATCAGTTCTTCTATCTTGTGGGCAAATTCTGATTCACTTGGAAGGTACAGTGTGGTTAATATCCTATAGTATCCTTTCTCTTTTTGGCTTAGTAGTGCTTTTTCCTCTTGCCCTGTGTATAAGTGCCAAAATAAATTTTTGGTAGGTTAATTTCCTAGATTTCCCCTTCCTTTTTAATTGTTTATCATAAAAACAAAACAAAACAAAATCACATCAATGACTGATACTTTATTCTGGGGAGCACTATAGAGAAGGCAGACCTATATAATCTTACTGCATATGACATTTTAATATGCCCAAAGACTGTCCATTTTGAATATTAAGTTCACTATAGAGAGATGTTAGTGGCTGAGTTTCCGTTGTCAATTTCAGATTCTTGAAGCACTCACAAGGCCTTGGAATCTTCACCACACTGCCCCTCAGCCGAACCGAATCAGCCACTCCCCAGAGGGGTCCCAGGACTCTGGTATTTCAGAAGATATGTTGGTTAGTTTCCCATGACCAGACTAGTGACATTCATGCTTACCCAGAGAAATTTGTACACTAAATCCCATGCTCCCAAAATAGATGTTTTGCTGTGTGAGTTATGCTTTGTATTTTCCAGAAAGAAAGGAAGTGCGTCGTCTGTATCAAACATGAAATTTGTACGTTTGCTAGATGACCTAATCGAAGAAATCGTATATTGCTTTGTGTGTGGTTTATTTATTTATTTTCCCCATTCAGTATTTTCAGACCATCCTCCCAGTCAGGGCTGTGGGCAATCCATTCTTCCTTGTTAACAAGGTATATTATTCCTGCCTGGAAGAGTACAGTAAGAGTATACTTAATGCATCACATAGTACAGGATTGTCTTAGGCAAACCATGTTTTTTTAATTTTTTTTTCACTGCAATATTTCTCAACAATCCCAGGGAAGGACTAGATCTGAAGGTGCTGTATTAAAGCATATGTGTTTGTTAGGCTTATACTGTATATGAATAGTGCGGCACGTGTTTTTAATAACCTTTTCTTTAGATTCTGTAATTCTCTGATGTATACCATAGAGTAGCAGCCTGTTATTGACTTTTATATTGCTTGTTGACGGTGCCTAGAGGGATATTGGCTATACCTCACTGATGATGCCTAACAAGGATGAAACGATCGTCTAGGGTTGCTGTATCTCTCGTGCAGCGAGAGCTGGCCTGTATTTTGGATCTGTTCTGCCCAAGATCTGGTGGATCAGTCTGAGATGCATGGCTTGGTTCTCTCTGTAATGGCACTAAAACCAGCTTGAGAACTGAGCAGGGACCACTGAAGGGCAGGCTAATTGAGCTGTTGTCTATTTTTATATTGCACCAATATATTCCACAGTGCTTTACAAATTTTATGTGAAAGTAAAAATAAGACAACCAGGAATGTTAAAGGAACACTCCACTGCCCCAATGGGCAAAAATAAAATAAAACACAGTTTAATAGATATGCCCACAATGAATACATGCATGCATTCAGTGGGGGTATATCTTAAAATAGTTTCCTGACGCTGCAGATCTTATGAACCGAAGCCTTTGCAAGCCTTTTTCCCCAGAAGAGACTTTAAGTCCCTTCACAGGGAAATAACCAATCAGATGCTTTTCTTTGAGAAGCCTCTTAATTGATGAGCATGTGCTCGTTGGCGCACGTCTGGTCTGAGATCTGCGTGGGAGTAGTAGAGTATGCCTGTCAATTCTGTTAGCTCAATGGAGCTGATTGAAGGAGGCAATAAACCTCCCTGGCTGTTCCCTAGTTTATTTATAAATGTGCCGATTTTCTCATAGAAAGCGTCACTTTTGTAAAATCGTGTTAAACTATGATACTCCTCACTTATAATGCACTTCAGCAAGTTGAAGTGCTTTTGGGGTGTGGAGTGGTCCTTTAACAGGAAACAAGATTGTTTAGGCTCCTCCTGACTTTAGTGTAAAATCTAGAGGGCAAATAACCCCTTTCACAGAGAGGAGCCAAGCAATGGTGTGTTATGCACTCTTAAAAGGAAACTATAGTTCCTTATTGTGACCTCCACCCGCAATGCAGAGGTGTTAAAAACCCATTCTGACAATTGCCTGAGTCTAGCACTGATGTATCTCTGTGCTGGCTTGAGCTCTGCCTTTGCTTCTCCCCCACCATCAGCCGGCGGGGGAGAACTAATGCGCACATGCGACAATCGCTGCACTTTACTTAGAGATTCTCCCATTGGGAAGTATGTATAACGCTTTCCTATGGGGTTTTTGGTGAGGCTGGGCGTACCATGCATAGCGACCAAAAGTTATCAAACCACCCTGAAGTCCCTCTAGTGGCTGTCTGGTAGACAGCCATTATAGGTCAAGATATAACAGGCAATATAGATATTGAGAATGGCACACTTTTATACTGCTGAGTCAATCAAAAGCGGACTCAGACTTTTCTTTCGTCACACTCTTGATATGAAGAAATGGAGGTATAAAACTGTTCTTTAAAATTAATAACAAGTAATTATTCCACAAAAGGATAAGATGCATTTTGATAAAGACCTGTGAGGGGTTGAAAGGTGTTAGTGGGATTCTTTTACAGTTATGCGATTTTAAAATATTTTTTGTTTCATGCTTGCTGTTCAATTTTATCCTTTTTGTGGAATAAATACTTCATACCTTCATTTCTTCATATCAAAAGTGTGATTGGATTCTAGCCGAAGCATAACTCTCACTCCGCAGTATGTGAGTGTGCCATTCTCAATATTTATATTGCCGGTTATACCCGACATACTTTTTTTTTTTTTTTTTGTTTTTTTTTTTGACACCTTTAGTGTGTGCCATTTGTTGCACTTCTTCACTGCTGTACTTCATTTGTATTATAGCCACTAGAGGTTTCTCTGAAACTGCTATGTTTGCATATGGGTTGATCCAGCCTCTAGTGGCTGTCTCATTGAAAGCCGCTAGAGGCACTTCCGCGCTTCTCACTGTGATTTTTCCCAGGGAGAAGACGTCAGCGTCCATAGGAAAGCATTGAGAAATGCTTTCCTATGGACTGTCTGAATTGCCGCGCATGCGCATTCAGCCGATGGCGTTGGAAGGAGGAGAGTCGCCAGCGCCGAGGGAGCCCGGCGCTGGAAAAAGATAAGATTTTAACCCCTTCCTCCCTCTAGAGCCCGGCAGGAGGGGGGCCATGAGACTGAGGGGTACCTATTAACACTAAAGTGGTCCTTTAATGTACCCCCCTTTTTACAGACCGAATAATCAGGGCTGTGGAGTTTGTACACAAAACTTTCGACTCCTTAATTCTTCGTGCACATATGTGCCATCTATTGACAAATAAGTAAGCTACACACTCTGTTTTGTTTTAACTCTGGCCATCTTATTAATTGTACAGAAAACCTGTCATTAAACAGGAATATAGTAAGTAAAAAAATAAATAAAAATTAAATTTTATATGAAACAGTTGTTGACTTATGCTGCCTAGCCTAGGCCTATATCGTAAGCGTACAAGTCCCCAGATCTCGGGCACAAAAGTAACCCATTATTTTGGGGCTTGACGAATATAAACCTAGACATAACCTCTAATTTTGAGGGGTGGGGGTCGACTTTTATATGCAGGCACATGTGATACGTTTAATCAAGTGGGTACACTTTATTTAAATATGTATGTATGTGTAGAAAGGCCATTAGGCCTGAATTTGTGGGAGGAATTCCCAGCCCCTACTCACCTCTGACGTTCAAGTGTTCCTGATCAACTTCCGGTCCGGGCGTCCTGTCTGTCAGCTGCAGTCTCCGCCAGAATCCTCCGTCCTATCTGCGGTCCAGCTTCCTGGCTGCTAAACCGTGAGTCATACTTACGGTACATTCCGGTCCCCTCCACGCCGCTCTGTGGTCTTATCGGGGTGGTGAAACGCACATGGCGGTAATCTTTACCGGGGACCACCTACGGTCCCCACACTACGGCATATAGGCGGTCAGATTTGTACATCTTTCTGGGGGGTCCTACAAAAAATACATCCAAAAAATACTTGAAGGTTCAAGTTCCCGGGTATAACCACTATCAAGGTTAGTATCCACCCATTACATAATTTGCCAATTTATCCCATAGATGATACATGAACTGGCTCACAGGGTCTGGGCTCCAGACCTAGCTCACAGAGGCATTTACAGGCCCCGCAAAGCCATCTCCCACCTCAACACTGAGGTACGGCCCCACGTCCAAATCATAGTTAAACGCCTCATTCGCTCTTCTACAGGGCCGTAGTCAGGGCCTCACTTTCCACGGCCACACGTTTTGAATCTTTTAAGTGTCATAGAGAGGCCAACATCCTGCCACCACATCTGTGGTAACGTACTTACCTCGGCCAAATCATAGATGGAACCTCTCACCATCACTTGGCACTAGTAGGGCCTCATCTGTCGCTAGTCAAAGTTGTTTTTCGCTTCGGCAATAACCTTACAGTCCAGTTCACCTGAGGAATCCCCCTGCTGACGAGTTGCCTACCGATGAGATACCATTCACCCCTATCAGACCCGAGTCTCCAGGCGTATCTCTCGCCCCTTCTACCCCATGGTCTATGAGAGCATGGACTATTCCAAAAATTACGACCGAACTTAGGCTTAGGGGCATCCCCTTTCCTGCTACGGCTCGTAAGGCGGAACATTACAGACTTTTGACCAACCAGGCCCCTGAGCCTAGGCCAGGAACTAGCTCTCAAGGTCAACCAACTGGCACTGGCACAGCCACCCAGGACACCCTTGCGGCAATCCTGGCCAACCTGCAGACCTTGAAGAGCAGGTTAAGCAAGGTGGAGAGTGCCATCGCTTCCCCAGGTAACCTTCCTGACCTCTCAGCCTTCACCCCGGCAGTACCTATGGCACCAACACCCGCCCCTATACTTCCCCCTTCAGCCTCAGATATGTCTCCTTTTGTGTCACCAGCTCACTCCTTCCCAGACTCCATTAGTAAAGAAATCCTGGATGGGAAGGACCTGTGTCTGGTGTCATTGCTTATAGCCTCTCAAGACGTGCTGGAGAACAGGGCTTATAACTTTGGGGATATTTTGGTGGTTCTTAAAACCAGAGACTCTAGACTCAAGAAAAAATTATCTATTCCCAATTTCGTTTTGGCTTTCGGGATATACCGTGATGTCATTTGCCACGGTATATCCCCGCAGGAGAGAGGAACTGGACCTCTATCTCCATAAAGTGGTGGATTTGGGCTCCTCTTTTTATGACCATCATAAATCGATATCGGCGAAAGCGGCGACATATCTGAAACAATTTTAACATAAGAATTAACTGGTGTCAGATGGATACAGCATTATTCTGTCGCCACTTGTGCCATATGTAATTCTTCAACTCACTTGACTGATTTGTGCCTTTCTGTGGCTGATCCATCCACCCCCACTCCCACCCCTCAATCCACTTCCACTCTTCACAATAAACATGAGGGTGGTCAGCGGGATAAACTGGGTAGGCCCATCTCCTTTCTAGGGAAAGCTCAGGTGTGCAATTTCAATGCAGGCTCCTGCAGCTTCAGCGCCTGTAGATTGTTGCACATCTGCTCTATCTGTTTCAGGGCCCACACTAAGATTGTGCCCGGCCAGGTTGTCCCCTAGCAAGTGATTAACCGACATTAATATCGACAACCTGGTTTTTTACTTGAAAACTCATCCAAGTAGAGATCTAGTGGAATATTTGTTAACAGGGTTCACCCAGGGCTTTCTCACGGGTCTCGTAGCCATCCCCTCACGCACACTGGAATGCCCCAACAGACGCTCTCCTTTCCACAGAAATAGCACAAGGTTTCATGATCGCCCCTTCACCTCCTCGCCGTTTTCCTCCTGGCGCACTAATCCCATTGGCATAGCTTTGCACAAATACTCGAATAAAAAGCGCATGATTATTGATTTATCGGCACCGCACTCTTCTTTTGTTCCCAGCATTAACGCACTCATTCCCGCAGATGAATTCTCACTACAGTACGGAAAAATTGACGACGCTATACAAACCATCATTTCAACTGGTAGCAATGCTTGGCTTAGCAAAACAGACACACCTAACCAATGCATTCAAATTACTGCCCATGCACCCATTACTTTGGCACTTGCACGGTGTTAAATGGCGAAACCGGTACTATTTTTCCACGCGACTCACTTTCGGGTCCAGAAGCAGCCCTAAACTGCTTAATATTTTCGCAGAAACTCTATGCTGGCTGCTTCTGAGCATTCTCAGGTGTCACGCCGTCATTCATTATTTGGATGACTTCCTCATCCACTAGGGTTCATAGCCACACCTCCCTGCATGCGACTTTCACAGCCTTCCATAAACACTTCCTGTAAAGAGAGCCCTATTTAGGCTTTCTTTTTGCAAGTTCTGTTTAATTAAGATTTTCTTATTCCCTGCTATGTTAATAGCTTGCTAGACCCTGCAAGAGCCTCCTGTATGTGATTTTAAAGTTCAATTTAGAGATTGAGATACATCTGTTTGAAAGTGAAACCTTTTTTTTTTTTTTTCAATGCAGGCTTTGTCAATCATAGCCAGGGGAGGTGTGGCTAAGGCTTCATAAACAGAAACAAAGGGATTTAACTCCTAAATGGCAGTGAAATTGCAAGGGAATGGTCTATACACTAAAACTGCCTTATTTAGCTAAAGTAATTTAGGGGACTATAGTGTTCCTTTAAGGGCCGATACCAATAACCTGTGAACTTTCAGGCCGATGGCTTACCAATATTCTGTACGTTTATCGTATTTTTTTATTTTTTGCAAGTCTTTTTTTTATTTTTTTTAATTAAGTGGTAAATGCACAAAATATACATGCCAGATTGATTTTTTTTTTTTTTTTAACGAATATACTTTTGTGTATCTGTGTGTAGTTGATGCAGTGAGAGTGCCACTCCCATTCCCCTTAATGTTCCTCTCCCTTCCTTTTTTTTGTGTTCCCCCCCCCAGTGTTCCTTTTCCCTTCCCTCCTGTACCTTAGTGTCCTCCTTAATGTACCTATCTCCCTAGTGTTTTCCCTTCCTGTCCATGGTGTTCTTCCCCTTCCCTTCCCATGGTGTTCTTCCTGTCCATAGTGTTCTTCCCTTCCTGTCCCATAGTGTTCTTTCCCCTTCCCCATAGTGTTCTTTTCCCCCTTCCCTGTCCCATAGTGTTCTTTTACCACACCTCCCCTTACATAGTGTTCCTTTACCACCCCCTCCTCCCCCATAGTGTTCCTTTACCACCCCCTTCTCCCCCATAGTGTTCCTTTACCACCACCCACCCCTCCCCATGGTGTTCCTTTACCACCACCCACCCCTCCCCCATAGTGTTCCTTTACCACCACCCACCCCTCCCCCATAGTGTTCCTTTACCACCACCCACCCCTCCCCCATAGTGATCCTTACCACCTCCGTCCAGTCACTCCGTTCTAGTGCCCCCCTGTGCCGGCCCATCCATTCATTATTGGTATTGCCGGTGATTATCGATGGATTCTTACCCAAAAAATCTGAATATCGGCTGATATCGACAAAACCAATAATCGGTCGATCCTTAATCTTGTTAAATGACTGGCTATTTTATTGGTCACTGTTTCAGTTTATTTAGAAGCAGTTGTTATGGAGTCTGCAAAGACTGGTCCCTATTCACACAGTTTTCATTTGTCTCACAGTATCTTTGTTGCATTAATGTAGTTATTTTAAATATATATGCAAATGCTTTTATAGCATGTCTTTATTTTGGGAGCAAAAGTGCTAAAATGTATTTTTTATTTTTTAAAACTGACAATTAATATAAGATCTATTAATCATCCGCTCATTATGAGCGGGCCTCTGAAAGAAAAGAAAAAAAAGAGGGGGGTGGGGGTAGCCTTTATTTTTTTCCAAAATTATATCCATAAACATTAAATACCAAAATCTTGAAAAGGAAGGAAGATATATTATCCTGGTGTGCAAAATAAATAAACTTTTTACATTAGCTAATAATATATATGTACCTAATAAGTCTACTATAAAATTTTATAATAAAGATTATGAAGAAAATTGATCAAATCAAACAGGGGGTGCTATTAAAAATCATGGGTGATTGTGGCGATGCTATACCTTGTTAAAAAGATTGTAATACAGGATATAACATGGTGTGACCAAAACCAAATTACTGGATTGCAAAGACGCTTTTGACAAGTTTCGTAAAGATTGGCAATTAAATGATAATATATTGTATAAAAACCATCATTGAACAGATAAAAATAACTGAACTATTTTACTTGGAAAACAAAAATAAGGGGGCATCAGATATTGTAGTATGGTTTGCTTACAAAAGCGTAATTAGAGGCCACACGATGGTGATGGCAGCCAGAATGGAAAAGAAAGAAGGCCTCCCACTTTCAGAGCTTACATAGCGCTAAATGAATATAAAAAACATAATAAAGTAACCCCTTCTACAGAAATAGCAAAGAAAATATCAGAAATAGAACAGAACATACATTTGCAAGTACCCAATAAAATAGCAAAAACTTTAGAGTTTTTTTTCCAATTTAAATGGTACCAAAAAGGCAACAAGCCAGAAGCGCGTATGATTAGTAAGCTGAAAATGTTAAAACAAAAAAACTCGATAATCTAGAATTAAGGATAAAGATACATACAGTATGGCCCCAGAACAAATGGGCGAAGCATTCGATAAATTCTATAGAGATCTAGATAACCTACTAAAGGATTTATTTGGTAATGATGAAGAAATTAAAAAATTCTTTGAAAATATAAAGATGGCCAAAATTCTGCCTGACCAATTAGAAACAATAAACCAACCTACCGGTATATCAGAAACAGAAGCTATTAAAGCAATAGATAAGCTTAAAGAAAGAACTGCCCCGGGCCCAAAGGGCTTTACGAATAAATTTTATAAAATTATGAAAGAGCAATTAAAGGAATAACTCACAAATGTTTTTAATTGCATGAATAAATTCAGGAAGATGCCCTGGAGAGTTATTGAGAGCAAATATCGTCTCAATTCCAAAACCAGATAAAGATACAGAACTGATAAGCAATTTTAGACCGATTTCATTGATAAACACAGACATCTAACTATTCTCGTCAATTCTTGCAGAACGACTGAAATCTGTCATACCAGATCTCATTAACAACGATCAGGTCGGTTTTATTCCAGGTCAGTCATCAGTTAACAGTATTCGGAAAGTAATAGACATATATATTGGAGGCAACAGAGACCAAAAGGATCCCACTCATGCTCATCTCAATAGATGCAAAGAAGGCGTTTGATAGGGTAGGGTGGGCCTTTGTCAGCCACATTAAAACAACTTGGATTTACAGGTCCAATTCTAAAAGTGTTATCTGCTCTCTGTGACTCTCCACAGGCCAGGCAAGTCATAGGATCCGGATTTACCTCTCAAATGTTAACATTTATAAAGGGACAAGACAGGGATGCCACCTCTCACCACTGTTATACATATTAGTATTAGAACCTTTAGCCATTGCTATAAGACAAAATAAAAAAATTACAGGCTATAGATACCCATTGGGGCACGTAAACTAAATATCTATGCGGATAATATACTACTGATCCTTGAAGAGCCTCTATTCTGGAAGTGTTGAAAGATCTAAATAGGTACTCTAGAGTATCGGGTAATAAAATACATTTAGACAAATCAGTAGTTATAGCCAAGAACATGAGTAAGAGATCAGTTAATCTCCTTTCCAAAAATTTTGGACTTCCAAAGAACAAAAATTGTTTGAAATATTTGGGTATAACCATTACATCAGAAGTAAGAGATAATAGAAGCTAATTTTTTACCCTTATTAAAACAAACCAATAAAAACTTACGGGATTGGAGGGAGTAGGGATTCTCGTGGTCAGGCAGAATCAATGTACTGACTTATATCTTACCAAAATAGCGCTATTTATGGAGAATGATCCCTCTTAACTGGTTACTAATATTACATGCCTCTTTTTTTTCTTCAATTGTCTGGTATGGAAAAAAACAAGAGTTAAAATGACAAATTTATCTAGGATGACAAGATGGAGGTTTGAGTTGCCCAGAAATCCAATGTTATCAGTCCAGTAGACTGTTACATATAATGTTATCACATAATATATCTGCAGAAAAGGAGAAATGGCATTCAATAGAGAGACAGCAGAGGGGTAGAGAATTTATCCTCTCTATTCTGTTTTTTTTGATCTCAATAAAAACTTTATAGCTGAGGCAAGATCCAAATCACACATAATTAGAGATCTAGCAGGTTGGTGGGATATATTTGGGGGGAAAAAAGTCAGTCTAAAGAATAGAATAATAGATGCACTACCAATCTCCCTGATTAATGATATGCTAGATAATATTTAGATCAACTCTTGGAAGAGCAATAAAATTATAGATATAACAGAGAATTATAAAATCAAGCCCTTTCAACAAATAAGTGAGTAATTCTGTATCCCACCGAATGATATCTTTAAGTACCTTTGAATTTTAAAGGGTTTGTCTCAGCGTTTATGATTAAGAATAGAATGCAAAATAGATGGGATTATTCAACTTGTCGAACTAAAATTTTTTTAAAAATATACTGTCTAAATCTGTTAGTCTTATATAAGATAAGACATGATAAACGTTCCAGAGCATTTGAAAAGTGGGAAAAAAATCTTTATATACATATAGATGACAAAGTTTGGAAAAGTTTTTAATAAATTTATATAAACACTTCCACTGCTTAAATTTGACAGTTTAAACTTCAGAATAGATGGTACTTGACACAGAATCTTCTAAATAAAATATATCCAAATACATCCAATAGATGTTGGCGGTGCAACATTGATAAGGGCACCTTATTACACATATGGTGGTACTGCCAACCGATATATACTTATTGGAAAGATATAATTACATTAATTGATTATATGACAGGAAATAAATTAACAATGGATCCGGGAATAATTTTATTAAATTCAATTGAGTCAAAAATGAAGATAAAGGATTCAGTGTTAATTTTATACAACATTACAGAAGCCAAATTACTGATAGCACGGAATTAGAAAAATGTACAAATCACATTAACTGGAGAAGTGATAGCACCAGTTATATGGCAAGCAAAAATGGAAAGGGGCATTTTAGTGAGCTTAGAAAACCGCTACATGCAAATAGAATATTGGGATTCTTGGATAGATAAATTTGAATTTTTTTTTAAATAAAATTATCATAGAGGGTCTCTCATCCAGGTAAATGGAATGAAACAATGAGGGGGACAGAGAGATGAATAGTATGTTATGTAATGAGGTGGCAATGGGTTTTCCCATACACCCGCCTTCCATGTCCAACAAAAACAAACATTTGAATAAAGAGGGAATGGATGGGTCAAACAGGCATATTAAATTTTTTTTTATTTTTTATTTATTTTTTATTTTTTTAAATGATGACGATAGTAGTTCAATCAAAGAGATGAGAGGGGCTCTTTCTCCAAAAATAATTTGGAAAAGTAAGATAAGAAAGTGAGATTAAAAGGGTTATTATGGGGTAGGGGTCAGAAGGGAAGAAACAGAGGAACATACAATTTTAGGTTAAACCCATGAAGTTTTACTATAGTTAAGAAAAGCAGTATTGTATCAATGATGATAAAGAGACCTCAAAGCTGCTTATTTTATGTAATAGTTTTAATAACTATACATTGGTAAGGTATCTGTCTGGAATACAAAAAAAAATTTAGCCATCTACATAAAGATCCTAGTTCTGTTTTAGTATGTTTTAATAGATAAATTACAAATCTTATTTGCCACAAGATTTTGCTCTAATTATTAAAGGGTTACTCCAAACATCATGATCACTACAATGCATTGCAGTTTTCATAGTGCTTGGAGTCTGTATGTGCAGCGTTTCAATTTAACCTCTTTGCTGCTAGAGACTGCATTCAGTCAGCCTGGAACAAGAGTTCTGGGCTAGCTAAAGCCAATTCTGTGCACGGAGGAGGATTTCATTGGCTGAGACCAATATACTGACCAAGTAAGGTTTTCCACATTACCTGGGGATGGCACCAGGTATGCTGCAGCTTTAACCCTTTAAAGACTTTCAGACTTAGATTTTCTTATGTTTTAATGCTATGTATTGTATAATTTGTGGTAATTGTGTTACAGCTTCTTTTTTTTTTTTTCTTCTTCTTAAAGCTATTTGAACGTCATGTCCTAAAGAATGACAAAGATTTATGTGAGCTGAACTGTGTAAGAGAAGGGAAATAAAGAGTGTTTCACATAGTAGCTACTGCAACCATCAAAAAGGAAGTATTTTAGAATTGTGGCAGTGGGACAAAGAATGCATTAAGTTGCAGAATACTGTCATAGATTTGTATTTTTATTTTCTTCAAAAATTATATCTGTTTTAAGAGCTCAAATACTTTAACTTTTTAGGCCCAAACCTATAAAATGCAAGTAATGTTTCTGCCTGGAGTGTCGCTTTAACAAGTAGAACTTTATTTAGTCCTTAAAATCCTGCCCACGAGGGTCTTTAAGAACTCATTTGTTTTGGTGGCATAGAACATACAGAGGCAGTAGTTCACAATCTAGTGCCTATGGGCCAGAAACAGTCCAGGTTTTGTCAGCATCTCCAATTTGAATAGAAAAGAGAAATATATAAATTCTAGACTGTTGCTTACTCGTGTGGGAACACCTGCTTTAAGGAGTAAAAAAAAAAAGATATTTGCCCCCTAAGTGTAGGGTCTCTCCTTCAGCTCATTAGCAGTGCTTCCCACATAAGAGTGAATTGGAGTTACGTGCAATACATGTGTTCTGTTGGCCAAAAACTATTATCTGAATTTCAACTCACAATTTGAATCACTGACCGTAACATCTGATATCCTGCACCTGTATGTGGCTTATTATTTTCTATAAAAATTGCTTTTCTGCTCACTATAAAGCCCCTGAAGCAGTTCTAGAGGCAGACTGAACATATTTAGGATGTGTGCCAGGATTGTGCCTTTTAAAGTGGACCTGTCACCATTGAATATGTTGAATATTCTGCAAAGACAGTTGTTAATGACCTATGCTGTGCAAAGTTAGCCTGGGGTAGGGTGGGAAATTTGAAGAAAACAAAACCTATTTTTCTGGACTCACACCATCCTTACTTGCCAAGTTTTCTCAGGTTTCATCACTATGTTTATTCTTGAACAAAGAAGGTTTCGATAGAAGATCCTGCTAGATGACTGGCTTCAGCAGAATCATTTTGCACATATGTCTTAAATTAACTTTTTAAAAAGTGTTTTTTTTGTTTACCTTTTTAAAAGCAATACATAAGGTGCCACAATGTTTCTATTATTTTAGGTGTTGTTTCTTTGTGGAAAATCAATTTATTTATTTTCTTCATGTTTACATATGCAAAGAGAGTTTGTTTTAATGTGTTTATTTTAAGGATCACATTTACTGTATTTGAGATTACCTTGATCTTTTCTTTCCTCAGAGATGATCTGTCTTTAATTTAAATGGCAGTGCATAGTTTATAGATCATGCCCCTGCAGTCTCACGGCTCAGTTCTCATTTAGGCGTTAAATAACTGTTTATACAGCCCTTGTCACTCCTTGCTACATGTGACTTACACTGCCTTCCTAAACACTTCCCGTAAAGTCATCTAATGTTTACACTTCCTTTTTTTGCATTCTGTTTAATTTAGATTTTATCTCCTGCACGGCTTATTACTTGCTACACCCTGCAGGAGCCTCCTGCCTATGTGAGCACGGTTCCTCTGGGGCAGATGGGCGGCTGGGGGATTGTGGAGGTAGGTGGCTGGCTGCTCGTATTCTTGCTAGGCGCGAGGGAGCTGTGATGTTCCTGATCTTCTCTCTCACGCGCCACTTAATGAACCTGGGGCCTCACTAACCGGCATGCGCAGCCAGCCACCTGCCTCCACAATACTAACTCAAAATAGAGAAATATTAATTGGGGTAAAGATGTCAGAATACAGAAAATAAATATATATTTTGCATACTCTGACCGAGAAAATTCTTTATTGATTTCAAAATTGATCAACAATATTTTCTTCAATGTTGTGTTTAAAAAAACAAAACATTAAGACACTTTTTTTTTCAATTACAGAATGTGCTAATGCAACCTCTTGAGGTAGAAATTCCACAGCTTTTATTTACTGTAAAGAACAATTTCCTTTGCTATAACCAAAATCTTTTTATTTCAAGTTTTAAATTGATAACCTCTTGTCCTTTTGTAC